ATTGTAAAACAAGTTCAACAATTATTCGAAGATAAGAAAGCAACAACAAATTCATCTATGCGAAAAAATCAACTGAGAAAAGCAAGAACAGAACCTATTCGAAAGTTACAAGGTGAAAAATCTGAACATTGGCCACCATCGAATAATGATACATTAAATCAAGAATCAAATCAATCGAAACAAAAAACAATTGAAACATACTCAATAACATTTGATATCGATGAACCTGGTTTCGAAGTTCTCGTCAACAAAAGTTTTAATCGACTATTAGCTATCGTTGAGTCAAAATGTCAGCTTGAAAAAGAAATTATTCATCATCCAATTCAAATTGAAATACCTAAATCAAAAGTAAATCATTCTGACGATAGTACATCGCACAACAAATTACAGGAAGATAATTCTAAATCAATGAATGATGCTAGTAAGACTTTTGTCAACTTGAATCCTAATATGTTTCAAATATCATTTCAAGATAGTACATCAATGATCCAACCTTCATTATCTGCAGTGCAAATGAATTCCACAACACAAGCTGAATCAGCTTCAATCGTAGATAATATAGCAAGGGTTGCTATTGGCAACTCCAAAATTGTTGTTTGTACTGCAGATTTAACTAAGCAATCGGTCAGTCTTTTTCTTGGTTCTTGTCCGAAATTTTGCTAGATTGAGATTTCATTGCAAGGATGAATATGATTTACAAGATAGAGTGTGGTTTTGAATAGCTACCTTTTGCTATCAGGTCTATACATTTTATAAATCAACAATAGGAGAATATTTTGTTTAATGAATTTTTATGAGCAAGAGTCACGATATCATTTCGCATTAGAATATTAGTTCACCTATTCATCATAGCTGAGGTTCAAACAGGATGTCTTCCTTTCTGTCACAATTTTCATGAATTTTCAGTAAAAGAGATTATCTTTGAGCTGTATAAAGACTTCAACAATCATAGTGAAATACATTGAACTGTGTAATTAAAATGAAACATGAGCGTACATCATTATCTCTTATCAAGACATGGTGCTGTACTGTCATGAACAGGTCAGACTTAAGAAAAATAGATCTGTTTGAACTTCGGAATCATAAACAAGTATCGATATAGTTCAATTGATTAGCTAGACGTATTAAATATATACGGATTTATTGCTGAGAATAATCAATACAGTCTTTTCGTGAAATAAAATTATTATAGGTCGATGCAATCGTTGTTTGCTCGACACAAACAATAGTACGTGATAACATTATCGCTGCTGCTGGAGAACAAGTAAAACATGCCTTTGATGAATGCTCATCGAGCGCTACACCAGAAATTGAAACAACAGGTGGTAATTTACCATGTAAACAGATTATTTTTCGTTCATGGATCTTTGATAAAAATCAAATACAAAATTTAAGACCATCAATAGCTAGATTTGTTACATCAGTAATTTCATATGCGCTTCATAATAAGTTGACAACAATCGGTAAGTCTATGCTATATTCGATATAAATATGCTAAAGTCAATTTTAGCTTTTCCAAGTATTGATTGTGAGTCATTAGATGTCGATCCCAAATTGATTGCAGAATATATGATTGATGAGACCTATCAACAATTGAAAAATTCCATACATTCTTCATTAATTATTTCATTCGTTCTGTTACCTCAACAACAAAGTGTATTTGATGCATTTGCGGATCAACTCGAGACAATAAGAATCATTGAAAATAAACCAGCTAGTGTTGTTTTCGATAAACAAAGTATGGAAATAGAAAGAAGTCAGTGTATTAATTTATATTTTGATTGAGTATATTTCAGTAGTGAGAATTAAATTGACTGGTTTTAACAATAATCAATTGATTGAATATCAAAATAAAATAAAACAATTGGCTCAATCATATTCATCTAAACTTCATCTGGCAGATAAAGTTGATTTAGCTGATTGGTCTCAAGAAAACGTTCAGAAATATTATGATTATTGTTTACAAAGACGAGTTATACCAACAATTGATATTCAAAACTCAATTCTGGATTTGATAGGTCCTCAAGATGCAGTGAGTTATTTAAGCATATGAACCTAAACAGTATTCATTGCAGTGTTTTATCCAGTGGGGGGGGGGGGGGGGGGGGGAGGCGGCAGATTTTTTCCACCCTCGACAACCAGATTGGCCGCCCCGAGAAAAGTAAAACTAAAAAAAACAAATTTATAAAAAACTATAAAAAAAGTNGGGGGGGGGGGGGGGGGGGGCGGGGGGGGGGGGGGGCGGAGGCATGGGACATTTTGCCCTCCCGGAGACCGAGTTTGACCCCCCGAGAAAAATGAAACTTAAAAAAAATAATATCAATAAAATTTTCATAAAAGTATTTTTGATGCGACATTTTTGGAATAATTTCAACAAATATAGTGTCAGAGTCGCGTGACCTAATTCTAACGCGAACAATTTTATCTCGCAGTAATCAATCTGTAACTCGGTTATTGATCATCTTTCAAAGCTGATCCTTAGTTTTTTTTTGAATGAAGTGAACATTTGTGTCGATCTGTATGTATTTGATCATAAAGTAATCAATCTTTGTTTCATAAGAGAAGGGAAAATACGAGTGGAGTCGAGTTTTTTTCAATTTTCCTGATGTTCCTAATTATGCCACCGGG